GTATGAAATCACGGAAGACACAGCCAGCAGTTGGCCAGTGCCAACGGACGTCTCCTTATATCCTTCGGGGGGCACAGGGTTAGAGTTACCTGACAGGAAAGGCAAAGGAACCAGTGAAGGTATGGTTGGTGTGTGTCCATGTTGTGAGTCTTCTGTCTGCTCTGAACTCCAGCCATCCAATCTCATGTTCCATTACCCTCAATGCTGCCATCATCAGGTGCTTCTTCCAGTCTTTCACGTCTAGAACTAGTAGTTGTCAGTCTTGTTTCCATATGTTTCTAAGTTTCATACCCTTCTGATGTGCACTAATGTGATAAAACTGTGTGCAACTCTCAGCACACCTCTAAAGCATTCCCAAGGTGGAACTGTCTGTACCATATCTCACAGGCTACAGAAGGCCATCGTGAAAACCCTGCCTCAAGTGGCTGTTTTCATGGGGAAAAAGTATGTCTGGAAAATCAAATGATTCCTGAAGCATTGGATCAAGCTTTCTCTACAACAGTACAAAAATGTTTGAGTTTGCCTACTCATTGATTGCCACCTAGTACCAAATGTTTCAGGGGCCAAAATATTTACCAAGAGCTATTACACTGTGAGTTTCAGCACTCTGGAGTTGGATATTTCTTTGCAAAAGTAGCCAGAGAAAAGGCCTAGTCTCCACAAAGTATCACGATGTCAACAGCTTGCAATTTTAACTGAAATTAGAAGCAGCTCCTGGGTCATGAATTCAGCAGTGCATTACCCAACGGCTTTACATCTTACTGTGCTTTGTATAGATGCAGCACTGCCAAAAGTACCTGTAAGGTCTGCAAAGGAGAGGTGTTTTATCCCTCCCAAGACTTAGCTGGAGAAATGAGAAATTCAAATTTTCAGAAAGCTCTTTTGTATGTCAAGCTTCTTTAACGAGGTTAACAGATCCCAGTAAAATTGAAGTCATTGGTTATTTTTGGTAGTTATTTTGGAGGAGGAAGTTTTGGTGGTAAGAGATAAAAAGTATGCTACTGTTCTGGCAACTCCGTGAACTCAAAAGTTTCCACAGAGTTCCCTAGACTTTGGCTGAGAGCCTATGTTTACATATTTAATTTTAATTAATTGTAGCATTTTTTTTCTTTAAGAGCTTATCTGTCTTTATTAGTCCAAATAAAAGCCATAATTATGTGTGTTCCTTAAAACAGTGTATTTACTAGCAACCGGTGGCTGACATCAAGTTGCTACAAGGAAAAATCAGCTAAAAGTGGGTTATTCTCAGCAAACCTTACTAGACAGTACAGCAAGCTGCAGATATCTCTGCTGTTGTAGTCAAAAATACTTCATGACAGATCCTTTTTTTTCCCCTTCTACTTGCCATATGTTTTATTTTTAAAACATCTAGTTTTGATCTGTCCGTTTCCTTTTAAAAGTCAAAATGAAAATAAATGGATGTATCCAAAGCTGCTGTCTAAATCCAAGACCTCCACTTCATTTCTTTTTTCAGCCATGCTTACAGCGACATCAGTAGAAGTTTTAATTGCTGCCAAAAAGCTCTGCTAAAAGACAAATCTGGGAAATGCCCTAGTTATGCCATTAGAAGGCCCCTCAATCACAGAATCCCAGACTGGTTTGGGTTGGAAGAGACCTCAAAGCCCATCTAGTTCCAACCCCCTGCCATGGGTAGGGACACCCTCCACTAGCCCAGGTTGCCCAAAGCCCCATCCAACCTGGCCTTCAACACTGCCAGGGAGCCAGGGGCAGCCACAGCTTCTCGGGGCAACCTGTGCCAGGGCCTCAGCACCCTCACAGGGAAGAATTTCTGCCTCACATCTCATCTAAATCTACCCTCTTTCAGTTTAAAGCCAAGTTAGTGCTTTATACAGATCTTAGAAAATCTGTGGGCTTTAGAGCTGAATATCTTCTCCTGACTAAAAAACACATTAGGGCAAGATTTTTCTTGCACGAGTAGTCCTGTCCAGCCTTAAAATGTAGCTCTCTCCCCATCGGATGGCTATGCCACTAATTCTGGACTAGCAGCGTTGCATGGCTGCTATTCTAATCCAGAATGTATGTGATGATTGAAATTTCTTTAAAAATGGTTTTAAGTATATTTGAAAGTCTTCTCGATCCCAATGAAACAGTCCAGAATGTGTTAGAATTTCCTTACAGCTGATCCAAATGAATCATTACCGATGTCTTGCCAATTCTCGGTAATAGTCATTCCTTCTCGTCTGTGGCTGTGCTCCAGCACAGCATTTACCTGTGTTTAAGCCCATCCTTGTTTAGCAAAGCACTTAATCACATGCTTACATTTAAGCGTGTAATTAACTGCGATTGAAGTCAGAGAAATGTAAGTGTGTTCTTAAGTGTTTTGATGAGTCAGGGTACCTTGCTCTCAAAAATACAAGCAGATTCAGCAAGGGCTGAAATGAAATAGTTCATTCTGAAATCCAAATAAATTAAAAATAGTTGCTACGGCAACCAAAAAGTTCAAGGTAATGTGTAGAAAGAGCAAAGTAATTGACAGCCCAATTAAGAATTCAGACCTGAAGTTAATTTTAAGGAGTCAGATATTTTGATTAAAACCTAATTTCTGATTAGAAGCTGAAATGGCTTTCTTATTGGTCCTTCTTTATGAAGTATCCAGTCCATTGGCCCTGACCCTACTGTAGGTTAAACCCGATGAAACAGGGATGGATGTCAGGGGCTGAATTCAGCCTGGGGAAGAGAGCCTTTCTTGGGGCTCCGCTGTCGGGCCAAGCGTCAGCTGCTCGCAACATGATACAGCAGCTCTTGGGATATCAGCTTCTCAGACGTGCAACTGTCCACCAAGAGGAGACAGAACCTTTCTGATTGTGGGTACAAACACTTATTTCTGTGAAATTGTCTCTTGCAATCGCAGAGGTAGTTTGGCTCGCATGAGCGAGCGCTGCTCTCTGTACAGGCAGAATACACGCCGTGCTCATTTTCTCCAGGCTATCTCTTGCATAGCAACGTATATCATTAAATTCTCACCTTCCCTGATTCACTCTGATGTACAATTAATGAGCAATCAGGGTGCGTATCAAATACTTTAGGTTTTCATCTGAATTTCTAAGAATCTATAAAACATGTCAGTAGTAATCAGAAAAAATATATCCTTCATTTGAACCAAAACATGGGATGTCTTCAGCTCTTTTTTAATAGAATCCTGAATCTTTTCATCTTACAATAATGGAATAAGAAACTTTGCTTGAAGACATGGGAACTGTTTCCTTTAATCCTGACAGCATGAAAAGTAATTTTTAGTATGCCAAATAAATATTAACAATCCAGTTGCTAAAGTAATCCCCTTCGGAATCAAGCTAGTTGATTTTCATTGTACACTTGTACTCTATCAGCACAAAATGATTCGAAAAAAATGTCCGTTTACCTAAGCTGCTTCTGATTATCTCTATTAATATACGCTTTGACTAAAAAAAGGATAAAAAGTCAGCAGATTCCCCCCCTGTATTTATTTGAATGCGATGAACAAAGATAAATGAGAATCTTATAAAATTACCAATATCTTTTTTTCTATGAACATATATATACCCTTTGCTTTCTAGACTGTGCTAGTATGCATAAAACTTCTGCCAGAAGAAAGCACAGAAATGAAACTTGCCATCAAGCCCCGCTCCAACAGTGTACTTAAGCAGGTGCTAACTTTAAGTCAGGGATTAGTCTTCTTTGGACCCAAAGCTCTGCTAAAAAGTTTTACATAAGTTTAAAAAAAAAAAAAAAAGAGACAGAAAAATTTGACCTGAATTCATGATGTGTGGGAAAAGGTATTTTTCTTTTCCAATTCCCAAATGTAGGTTCTGGAAGAAAAAAACAACCTTACAATGTGATTTTCCTACAAAAGACTATATGTTCCTGAAAGTTTCCTTCTCGTTTTTTTAGAATCGCCGGATCTGTGAAACACAGAGTAATGTGCTGTAATGGCACAGAGATAACAAATTTATTTGAGTTTCTAAAATTAATGGTTAGTCCTTGTTGGTGACATGATGCTCTCCTTACTAAAGTCAAAATCTTTCAGGTGACACTACTGCATACTTTTTAACTAGAAGTGTCCTTCAATAAAGGCTGTTTGCTAAGCAGTTGCCTTCATCATCTTTATGCTCTGCATAAAGCTGTGGCCACTGCTTATAGCAAAGGCTGAAAAGGCAATATTCTGGCGTTTGATTTTTCATCCTGCCCCTCATTCCCTGGGCTTCCTTTGGGGCCAGATTTTTTGAAGCAGCCACCAGTTTTGAGAACTGTCAGTGTACGAATTTCTAACCTGGAATTTCCCAGATGTGTTTTATCCCTGCTCTCCATCCTGGTGGTCGCTTTAAGAAACAGCTGCCTCCATTTGCTTGTCTTCTGAAAGAGGATGAATTTAGAGATTGTATTGAAACCCAATTAAAACCTCTCATTTTTCTGAGTAGATATTATTACTCAAGGGCAGGGTATGATTTCCTTCATTTTTCTCAGTCCTTTTTTTGGACTGTTGAACAAATTTCAAATGCTGTTACCACTGTCAAGAATTAATTTAATAGAGAAACCTTTTCCTTTCCCCACTGAAGCATCGTTCATGCTGCTGTTCTCCACACTACCATTCCATTCTGTGACACACGTCTACCTCACTATTACTACACTTCTCTTTGCTAATGTAATGATGACTTCTCCATCTGTGAACTTATATTCATTTAGGATATAATATCAGATGATTTATTCTTATCTTCAGAATGTAATTACGCACTCTCTGATGTTACTCTTTAAACAAAAGGTCATTTTTCTCCAGGTTGCTCTTCTCATGTTCATGTTTTCAAACAAAACAGTTACTGAAGCCAGGAATAACCCTGCCAGTTTTCCTCCCATAATCGTATGGATTGGCTAGACAAAGTACTCTGAAGACCTCAGGACACTAATAGACTGTTTCTGGAGATCAATGTCAGAGATATCAGTATGATTGGATTACTTTTAGGATGTAAGCCTAATCCAAGATTTTTGTTCCTGTGTTTTGGCAGGAAAACCCAGTAGTTTCTTTCCAGACGACAGTTTTATAGACTCTGGAGAAATTGATGTTGGCAGACGAGCCACACAGAAGATCCCTCCTGGTACCTTTTGGAGATCTCAGGTGTTCATCGACCATCCAGTGCATCTGAAATTCAATGTGTCTTTAGGAAAGGCTGCTCTGGTTGGCATCTATGGCAGAAAAGGCCTCCCACCATCACATACACAGGTAATGGAACCTCATTTCAATTAAATAATAGTTGTCTTAAATTGTATGGCTTACTGTTTTATTTCAGCTATTCCTTTCAAGAATTTGTTGCATCCTTGCAAGGTGTTAAAGGTCATCTATCCGGAGAAAGATGATCAAGTGACAACTGCAAAATTCACACTTATTAAGCTGGTGGGCTGCAGGCAGAGGCAAAGCAGGCAGTTGCCTAAGGCAGCATGCTGCCAGAGGAGGAGAAGGGTTTTGTGGGCTGGTGGTCACAGAGGGTATCAGCTTGTTGCTCATGGCAGCGTGACATACCACCTTTTCCATCCAGTGTCCCTTGCAGCAGCAGCCACGCTCAACCCACGTCAAAAAGAATCATCTCTTAAACAGTCTTGTGTGTATCAGGTCTGTGTCCCTCTTTCAGCCTCTGCCTTTCTCCTCTCATGGTAAGGGCAGCAAGACCCCAGTCGCTCACCCTCATGGGAGCACGATTCACTTTTGTCTTCTGTGCTGAAATGCCTTGAGCCAACTCTTCACATTATGCATGTTGACTGTCAGATTAGACTGAGATTGGTCAGAGCGCGGTAATTGGTGTATAACCAAACAAAATCAAATTTTTACAAAAAGCCACTGGCTTACTTCAGCAGAAATCAAGATACAGTTATTATTCTGTAGGACTAAAATGAAAGCGGTTGCTTTTCTTGACACACCTTGGCAAAAGCCTTGTCAAGAAGTCACTTTCTGGGACAAGCTCTGAAGAACCTTCCCTTTAAATAAGGAATTTGTACGTTATTTTCTCTGCTTTCCATTTCAGTTTCTAAGCTGCTCTTAACCAGATTGATTAATACATTGGGGTGTAACTCTCATTGGCAATGCAAAGCATCTTACTCCCACTTGCCTCAGCAAGTTATCAAAGTATTACCAGGTTTTTATTAATTTTCTAACTTACCCCTGCTCTCCACTATTGAGAAGCCTAGTAAGCAACCAACTATTTGAGATCTATAGAAATACCCTGCTTTTATTTTCTTTTTGAACAAACAAATACATTTATTACAATCTTTCTGGCTAGTGTGGGATTTTCTACATATTAGCACACCTGCAACTTATTTATATCAAAGAGGTGTCATAAATCTACACTTTCTCTGCCTGCTTTTCTGCAGAATGAAAATATTTCAATAAGATCAGCAGGACATAAATTTAGTGACACAATAGTGCTGTTATTGCCCATTTTTAATCAGTCTCTTTTTATGGGGAATTTCAAACATTTAAAACTTAAAACTCCCGTATTATTTAAAGAAAACTCTAGTCATGGTTACATAATACTAACAGTAGATCAGAAGTCTGTATTAACTCTGATTTTTCTTGTTTATTATCATTATTAATTTCTGTTATGGAACAGGAGTTATTTCATGAATGGTTTCAATTGTTTAAATAACGAAATGTAAAATTTAACACCTAAACCTCAAGTCTATTTAACTTAAAGCAAAATCTTTAAACGTAGCAGGGCGCTACACCCAACCATAGTAATGTTTTAAGCAACTAAGAAGCCCAGACTGACTTCACCATTGCTGCTGTTTTTTCTTCAACCTCATTTTTTTCCTGGGATATTCTGAGTGATTTGTCAGTGTTAGGACCTTTCCCATTTAAAACAGTGTGATTGTGTATCAGTTGAAGCCTCAGCTGACAATGAGATGTTAAATGTGGGATGTGGCATGTGTTTGTCAATATTACGTGCTGGAGGAGGCGATGCACTTGCTCAGAGTCCTTGTAAGTGCTGCTTTTTGTGTAGCCACTGATTGAGAGCTGCCAATCATTATTTGGACCAAAGCATCACCAAAAAATGACTTGAGGGACATTTTTATTCAAACAATAAAAGTCATGGTACACAAATAGATCCCAAAACCCACCCTGTTCTGAAGAAATAACTTAATGAAACTGGAGATACTGAAACAATATTGATGTATTACTTGTTAATAGTTAATTTACTTTTGAAATGATCCCTTTTCCTAGATTTATCATTTTATAAACTTGCTGTCAATTAAAACATTGTTCTCCTTCTGTATATTTTGATATGAAGTTTAATCCTTAACATTTAATCTCACCATAGCTTAATAGCTTGAGGAATCATTAAATAGGTAACCTGTTTTCTGTGTTTGAATTGTACACATCTCTCATAGTTAATACATATTACACAAATCTCATCTTTTCTCTTGCATAATCCAGAGTATCTGCTGCACCCCATAAATCTGCGAAATGAGTTTTATATTTCCAAATTTTGTAAGGAATTTCATAAACAAGACTTTGACAAAATGTAAGCTTAGAGCAGTGATACAATCTCCCCTGGAAGAGTTTAATAAAAGGTCAAATTTTTTTCCCCAGTTTATCTAGTTGCTGGCAGTAGTAAAATTCTGGCTGATCGTCAGGTTTTCTTCTGTGTTAGATAAGTAGATATTTCTTCTGTTTAGATAATCTGTCTTCTGTAGCATGGGCCTTAACATAGTCTTTTCTCTTTCAGGATCTTTGAATTGATCCCAAGGCTGTAGACCCTTAGCATATATATTCCTGAATTTGGTAAAATGTTAAAAGTCACATATATCCATGCTAGAACAATAAACTATTCCAGATTCTCTTTGGGAAACTTTCTCTGCCTGTGGTGATCTGTCTTCTAGTCAAGGTTGCCAACAACCATGGACACTAATAAGTAAGAAGAAAATGCAAGCTCCAGATTTCTGTAGTCATAGAAATGGAGCCTGAATAAGCCTGAAATAGTTTACTGTTAACTAAAGGCATTTCTTCTCATTCTTCTCAACAAATCATAATAAAAGTTACATAATTTTATTATGGTCTATTAGATTTAATCTTCCTAGATCAAATCATTTTTTAAACTCTTTTTAACCTAGGCTAAATTTTGTTAAATCATAAATTTTAAGGATTGGCCATCACAGCTTGTGGGAGGCATTTTTCTATTGGTACAATTTGAATTGATTAACATGGTATTTTATCTACGATTTCCTTGCTTGCAATAACTCTACTTGCATATTAAAAATTTCTGAATGTATTAAAATGCAATAAAGCACGATCCATTTGTGGTACAATTAATATATACAACTAGTAACTAGTAACTTTGCAAAGTCATCAACATCCACAGCAGCATCTTGCAAATATTTATAAAAATAAACTTTTGGCAGGAAGCCCCAAGTAAGCATAACCCAGATTGGACCGTAACAACAGCAGCTCACCGTAGCTGAATGCCTTGAAATTATTTTAATCTCACTAAGCTTAAAGCATCCTCATCTAGTATGTAGCGAGAAAGAGCTGCTCCTAAGGCACAATCCATGGACATTTCTTAGATGTCAACTTTAGGATGAGGCAAATTGCATTCTAGAAGTATTTCTTTCTTTGACTGCAATACTGTGGTTCTAGAAAACTAATTCAAGCTGCCACAGAGATGTCAGCACTTCATGAGACGAACTTTACCTATGGTGTCTGCAGTTACCGTTTAAAAACCTAGTCAGTCTGTTCCATCATGCTCCAAAATGGAAGTGGAACTATGTTGGCTTTTCTCTTACTGGTTTTAAGTTCTTCAGTACACCTGGCCAATGTTTTCCTCAGTCCAACTCAACTCCATTGAGACACTTCCAGCAACCAGACAGCGCCGCGATGTCCTCTGTCACTGCCCTTCTCAGCTGTGTCACTGAGGCCACGCTGAGACCAGATGAGGAATCAGCCTAGGCGATACCTCATCCTCGAGGTGGCTACAAATATCTGGCTCACGAAGTGCCATTCAAACCTCTCACTGGTATCCTCCTAAACTTAAAATCACTAAATCATGATTTATTTTTTTTTAAATAGAAACTTACATTTTTAATTGTTGTTTAAGATTTTGTATTTTTATGTTGTATATTGTATAATTTCTATTTACATGATATTTTTTTTGAAAATAGAGACTCTGTCTCTGACAAAGCTAACTTGGGTAGACACCCAAAAGGAATGCCTTTTGAAGGTGTGCCAGCTTTTATGTTCTTGAAAGACACTTCAGCACCAAATTTGAGAGATCTATATACTGAAATACAGCAAAAAATTAAAGCAAGGCTCAAAACGTTATTTCATGTAAATAAATGTTTTAGAATACCGTAATAAAAATACTCTAGGGACAAATTTGGTCATTTCATGTGTAAGCTATGTCATATATAGCTATTTCTCAAAATGTTGTTGGAAAGAAACACTTTTAATTTTTTTTTTCTTAGCAATGAGTGCAGAGGAAAGAACATGTCATAGAATTGTAGAATCATTTTGGTTGGAAAAGACCTTTAAGATCAATGTCATCAAAAGTCCTTACCTTGCTTGACGTTGAAGACCATACCAGACAACTTAATAATATAACAGAAGCACCAAATTTTGCTACAGTAAAGTCAAAAGGGATAATGAATCAAAAGCCTAAATATTGTTGCCACACTCAGCCAACACTCAGCAGCCATTCAGTGCAGCAACATTTACTAGTACCAAAATAAGTGGTGGTGTTTCTTTCTGCCTGTCTTCCTCCTTCCTGCCAAAAACTAAAAGCTTATTTGACCAACTGGATGAGAGAGGCGAAACCAAGTGAAGTCAAGGAATAGAAAAACTACGCTGTGCCTCAGCTGCGGGGTTCTGCTCACAAGATGTCCCGTTCACCTAAACACATGCTAAAAGTCAGATTAGATAAGGTTCACTTAACATTAGTGATGTCGGCTAGGCTTGTATCTGACTCGTCCTATTAATATATTACCAGACAGAATACAATTATTGCAGAAAGTCAGTAGAAAGTTATTTGAATTGGGAACTAAAGGTAGTTGCAATACTAGTAGCAAAATCAAAGCAGTTATTCAGCTGAAGTTACCCTGGCAAAAAATAAGTATGTCCTTTTGAGGAAAATTTCCAAAAGCTACCCTTTAAATGAGACTTTTACATATTACTTTTTCCTCTTTTCCATCTTCATCTTCTATGATCTTTTAACCACTTTTGCTATTGCTTTAAGATAAAACCCTTGCTGGCTAAGGAAAATACTTCTGCAAAACCTCTACCAGAATTTCATCTTACCTTTTTCTTGGTGACCCATAGCAATTCTGGCAAACAACCCAGTTAGGCCAGATACATTTTGCTATCTATTTTCCTTTATTAGCCAAGACACAAAGAAACTAACAAATAAGGTTCTTACATCATACGTACAGTGCCATTTCGGCACGGTCCCTGGACCTCGTGTTTCCCTGCCTGTGTTTCTACAGAATGAGAACACATCAGTAGGGTCAGTATGCCCCAAATCACATTCTAAATAAAGATGATTTCTTGATTCATGTAATTACAGGAAAATACATTCATATACTAGCTATTTCCAAAATGGTTATTTGCAGGTAGTCCAGGAATGTACTTGATTTACCAGAGAAAATCCTGTTTATGATACTTCTGTAGATGCACGTTTCTAATACTCAATGCGAAGTATGTCTCCCTCATAAGACAGACCCCAAGCAAGAGACTTAAGCTAGAGGAAACCTGAAATAAACACAAACATCACTCTTTTTTTATGTTTCAGTTTGACTTTGTCGAGCTCCTTGATGGAAGACGTCTACTGACGCAGGAGGAGAGAAGCTTAGAAGGACCTCAGCGGCAGCACAGAGCTTTTGTGCCCTTGTCCAGCCATGAGACAGGATTTATCCAGTATTTAGATTCAGGAATATGGCATTTAGCCTTCTACAATGATGGCAAGGAATCGGAAGTGGTTTCTTTTCTTACTACTGCTATTGGTAAGGATTTCCTGTATTATTCCTACACTCCTAAATATGCCTCGAGGCCAGGTATTAACGCACATACTCAAATTGCATGGTAGCTTTGTGTGGTTTCAGAGAGGATGCTTGTAGGGGATGTGTTTAGCAACAGGCTGAATACTCTTAGGCCCTAAATATCTCATAAGCATTTTGTAGGTCTTTTAAGTAACTATATCCGTAACGAGATTCTACCCAGTGCCAAAGATGGATTACAAGCTTGAAATTCCCTGCTTCGTTTTCTTCCTTTAATCTTCTTTTTATTTAGGTTGGTTGGTTGGTTGGTTGGTTGGTTGGGTTTTTTCTCTTTCTGGAGTAGAGGTATAGGAATGATTAAAGAGCACACAGCAGCACCATGCAACATTTTCGTGTGACACACAGTCCTGACTTTGAGCACCATCAAAATTACTCAAGCTGGAGTTCAGGCAGAGTACTGGGGTTAAAATTCCAATAAAGAGCACTACAAGGCTTGATAGTAGGACCCACAATAACACGAATCTTTGTTTCTCCTTGCTAACAGAAAGAAGCTGAGATTCCTTAAGAACGAATTAACTAAACAGATCTCAGTTTCTCTGGCAGTAAAGTGCCCTGCCAGTTCAGCGCAAAGGCACCGATTTGTTGCTGTCCAAGGAGAAAAGGATGCTGCCTCTGGGCTGCCTGACAGCCTAGCACACTGGGTGTTCTTCTTCCACCCTGTAGATATCAGAATCTGTTTCTGATTCAATAATATTTAATTTTAAATTAGACTGACCTCCTGAAACTGCTCATATACCCAAATTAATTTGGTTGTAATTTAAAGATTGCTCCATAAAGCTAGCACTCAGCTTTCTTTGAGCCACAGTGATTGTTTAATGGACTTTTTTTCTTTGCTGAAAAAAGCAGACTCATTCCAAAGCTGCCATTAATCCCTCTCCCAGAAGAGGCATTGGCGTTGAGTCTCAGCTGTCTGCAATAGTTACCTAAGAGCTATGGGCTGTAATTTGTCTTGGCAGGTTAATTAAAAGTTTAGGTCTTATTAAAGCAAAGTCATTAAGATCCCAATATTCCATTTTAGCGCTAAAGTTTATCTAATGCAGAAGTAGAAACACTCCTTAATACTCTGTTAAATTTAGAAGCTGTAAATGCACATGTTCAATCCTGTTCACAGTTAAGCAACGCTAGAAATAGTTGCGTGTTAGCTTCTGAAATTGAAGTCCTGCTCTATGGAATGCGGATTTACTTTCATTTAGTTTGCTTTAGCAATTTGAGTTTTTACTTACACCGACCACCTTCTGCCCAGAAGAAGCTCCAGGTAATCTTCTGAGTGACTTCTTTTTCCTTGTCTAAGAATTTCTTCATCACAGGAAAATCAGTAAGGCTCTCACAGCAGAAAACACTTTTAAAGCACAGTCACTAGTTGTTCTCGTTTTCACAGTGCTGCTAAGTATTCTAGCCAGACTTTTCTCATTGCCTCACTGCACTGTCATAAGGGGGGAAAAAAACAAAAAGCCAAACCGTTCTGAATTTTTCTTTGAACAGGAGGGGAGTGGTACAGGTGAGAAGCATGTCAGACTGTCTTTAAGGCAATCCTATTTTTTTTGTTTATACTATACCTTCATGACCATGTGATAAGTAGAACGGTCCACAGTATATCCCCCCTGCTTACCTCGAATCATTCTGTCTTTCAGTACAAGGAAGTTTTCTTTTGCTGTACCACAAGAAAGAGCTTTGCCCTGTATGTGGGAATCATTTTGCCCACTGGCAGCTGTATAGCAACACAAAGCTACAGTGTACAGGAAAAACTGTTTAGGTACAAGCTCTGCACTTTGAAACTCACTTGAAATAAGTAAAAATTTTAGATGGGAGGAGGTGGCTTCTTGGCTAGAATGTGGCCAGAGAAGTGCAGCATTTTTATACGTGCCATAAAAAAATGTAATAACCTTAACAAGTTGGAACCTTTCTTCTCTAGACTAGATTTCGACAACTTCTTGTTTAAAAAAAATCAAGGCAGGTGTTTTGTGTAAATGTACTGTAATGCTTCAGAACCTCTCTAGTGTATTCATGAGGTCTGGCAAGACATGGTTGCTACATTTTAAGTCTATAAATACCATAATACTGTAGTGTTATAATTTTTGTCAGTGCCAGAGTAAAGAGGATACAGCAACCTGACGCAGTGTTTATGAACTAGGGTGTAAAATTGCAGTGCCAAACAAATAAATCAAGTCACACCTGATGGGAGCCTCAGATCTTTCTGTGTGGGGTGAAGAACCTGCAGAGGAGTTGTGTTGACTGTCAGAGGCAAGCTGCCATTTAATTTGATTTCTGTGACCGGAGCACGTAGAAAAATCTCCCTTTATTATTGCACTGACATAGGGTTTACAGTGAGAGTGTGTTTGAAAGGTATAGCTGTGATGAAGGAAGAAGTAGGATCTGGTGATCTGAGAAGAGGACCAGCAGCTCGGAACTCCTGAATTCTGATTGATGTGCTAATTCTGACCCAGCCCAGGCTCATGCTTCAGCTGCTCACCATGTAAAACTGAGGAGAGTGACATTTCCCCAGAGATGCTGCGAGGCTGATAGAACTGCTGGGAAAATGCATTAAGCATTAATTAATAATCAGGCATAATAGTAGAAAGCACAAAATTGATAATGGTGATCATAATGATAAGTTCATAAAGCCAAACTGTGCAGTCATTCCTCAGGCAAACCTCCCCTGTGAGTAAGGACTCACCTGAGTAAAGGACCATAGCTTTTACTTCAGCAATAAAAATGTTGAGTGGAAAGCATGCTGATTTTCCAAGTATATCTGCTATGTTCCAACAGACTGAATTTTTCAGAGTCAGTAAAATCATTGCAGGCTCTATATGACAATATAAACTGCAATTACTGTCCAGTGCTTGTCTGGAATGATTTGGCCTCCATTATTCTAGAGAAAACTGGAGAAAAATGGAAAAAAGCATCTGTATTTGCAGTTTGATAACACACAGTTAATTTCATAAATTGTGAGGCTGTGCATCATACAGTTTTGGAATCTGATATAGCTGTAACTGAATCCACTCAGGAACATTAGCACTGATTTTGAGGGCAGGAGATGGCAGTTTAGCCTGTTTTCTGAGAGGATGTGGAACTATCATCACTAAAAAGGTAGGTGGTATCAAAATGCGTGCCTGTTACATGCCACTGCACGTAAACCTGGGGAGAGTACGGCATCGTAATGCCTGTCAGAGCTTACGCTTCTGCATAATACAGGCAATTCAGGTGGAGAGGAAAAAAAAAGATTATTCTGGGAAAGTTTTCATCTTTTAATAGCATTTTGATATCCCATTCCTCTGAATTACAATGCAAGACATTATAAAGGAACGGACAATCAAGGTCTCTCAATAATAAATTAACCTTTTTGTAAATGACATTGGCGGCACTTTCTGAAATTTCTAATAGAAACGCTTCTCTGAAAAGCGCCTTGTGCATTCACCTCTGCCTGATAGCGGTGATTTATTCAGAGCAATCTTGTGTAAGTGGAGCAAAATAGTAGGCTGAGGAATCAGCTGGAATCAGCACATCTGAGACAGAGATGTTGGCCAAAAATCGGCTCAGGAGAAGCAAGAAACATCTGAGAGCCTGAAAACAGCATCGATGGAGTCAGAGAGAAAGTGTCTTCCAGCAGCTGTTACTGCTGAGCTCAGGCAAGCTTGGCTGTGCAGGGCCACTGAGAAATCAAAAGGAAAAGCAAAACCAGCTGTCTGTGAGAGCAGAGCATCTCTGTTTACCAGCATGGCACCCAACAAGTAATAGGAAACACATGTAGAACACCCGTGATAGGATGCAAGGTTTATCTCGCTTTTATCTTCTGCAAGAGACAAGGCTTAAGTTCAAGAAAAGGACCCTTGTTCCTCCTGCCCCCTCCACTACCCATAAACTACCGTAAGTACTTTCCTCCATCAAAGTGCAAAGCGAGCTGAGGGTGTTCTTTATAAGGGGCTGCCGGCACATACAGCACATTGCAATATACATCAAAAGGCAAGCTCCCTTCCTGCAATAGCCTAAAATATAACCCACCCCCATACCGTCCCTAGGACATCAGTTCACACATGGAAAGGATGCCAGCGGAGGAGCACTTCGCAGTAGGACTGAGCTTAGAGAGGAGAGAAGAAATTACAGGGCACAGAGGCAAGCGTGGGACTGGGAACCCTCCTTGTGTGAGAGGTGACAATAACGACTCTTCCTTAGCTCTGGGTGAAAATGCTTTTGTGTTTAGCTTGGTCTTAGCAAAGGGAAAAGGAAGAGCCCGAGTAGCTCAGATTTGCTTCCCTTACTTTTGCTGCCCGTGTGTAGGCTAACTTAAACTCAACTTCTAATTCAGAGGGGATGCGTAAGTGTGATCCACTTACAGACTCAAAGCCATTCATGTTATCTACACTTGCTTTGCTAATGTCTGGAGAAGTCTAAATTGGTTTCATATAAATATTGAGGAGTCAAGAGACTGTGCAGGCTAACATGGGGTGTGATCTGTTCTGGCTTACACTTTCTTTTAGGTCCTTAATGCCTGAGTTACTTGACTTAAAACTCCCCCATGTACGATAAGATCTTCAGGACTCTGAATAAGGAAAAGTGGTTTTAATATCCCAGCTACCCTTTTCTGAACTTCTCCTTAGGCTATATCCAGCAAAAGAGGCTGAAATAATCAGGACCCTTTAACTGTTAATGGGACTCCAGCTGCTCCATGGAAGTGCTCAGTTACTACAAGTGTTGTTCTCCCCTACTGCATATGAGTATGGTCATCTTAGTCCTTCCCCTGTTTCACAGAGGGACTTCTGAGCGCTTCCACCTTGTGGTAACCCTCTACAGATAATTAATTAGTAGCCTGTTCCTTCCCAGACTCACAACTCCTCTTATGCTTGCTCTCCACAGAAGAAGATATATAGCAGCATATGAGAACCATGGCAGGGAGGAAAATCACAACTTTGCTTTTGATGTTATTGATCTCTCTCCTGCAAAATAACAGC